CTCAGTTTTTTAAGACAGGATATAGAACTAATTATTAAATCAGTTCATGGGTGGAATAAACATATGGCAGGACTTCTGACCCCTGGACTTTACACCTCTGGTTGGATTTCAAACACCGGATCAAACCAGTAGTATTCTAGACCACTTTAGCATGCATTTGGGTTATCTGTTATAGTGTAGTTGGTTTGTTGTGACATTATGGAGAATTGTGTGGGCACTCACAGTTGGTCCGGTCTTTCCATCAGGTCCAGGGCTGCCAGGGCTACCAGTCATACCCTGTAATTGGCACGAAGAGAGAGGGGGTCAAACACTGACATACTAATACACAATCAATCCTGTGGATGCCAATTTTCTCACCTTGGATCCTGGCATACCAGGTTCACCATTGCGGCCAGGCTCACCAGTGGCACCCTTAGGTCCAACAACTCCAGGGCCTCCACGCTCACCAGTGGCACCCTGTTACAGAGATCAGAAAGAGTTGCACCATTTACCATTGATGAAATTTGATATATAAATATGGTAATATCCTAAACAGATTTTCTGCCTATTTTCTGTTTAGTTGCTAACTAAAAAGGATGTTAAATAGTATGAAACATTTTGTATCTTTTGTAGACCCACCTTAGGACCTGCAGATCCATCAGCACCAGGGAAACCACGAGCACCAGGAGCACCCTGCACAAAGAGGTGTGTAATTGTTAAGGTCTAGGCCGCTTTTAAGGTTCTTACTAATATTTTCGATTATCTGGAGAGGTTTAAGTGTGGGTACATACGCGTTCACCAGTGGGTCCACGGCCACCAATAGCACCGGGCTCACCACGGGCTCCTCTCTTGCCTTCCTCACCAGGTGGGCCAGGGGGACCCTGAACTCCTTGGGCACCCTGGGTAAGCACACAAGAAAAAGGAAGATGGTTAGAAATGAAAGAGACAGTCAGATTAGAAATCAATTATTGTAAAATAGTTGCTTTTTCAGTCCTAAGGCACTGTTTTTACAAAGCTGTGGAATGTTTCAACTAAATTTGCATGATTAGATTGATATAAAATGGAGTTTTAGAAACAATGAAGTGTGTGACAATGTTTTCTAAATCAAATAAATGAAGTTTATACTTACAGCCTCTCCCTTAGCACCACCCTCTCCTTTGGAACCAGGGGCACCGGCCTCACCCTGTAAAATGTAAAAAGTAATTGTGTGAAATAATTCACATTTTGTTTGAAAAAATGTGGCTGATGATCTGATAAGAAATAGACACTTACGGTGTTACCCTTAGGGCCAGGGGCACCAGAAGCTCCAGCAGGTCCGGGAGGACCGCGAGGTCCAGGGAAACCAGGAGCACCAGCAATACCAGGAGTGCCCTGCAGGTGGCAGCAGAGAGTAACAAAGATATGCCGTTAATTTACTAACACCAAAGTTCTAATCCAGGAAGAGGAAATACATTGGCCTAAAGAAGAACTTTTATCAACAAGAGCATTTGATTAAACCGATACTTACAGGAGCACCCTTGGGACCAGCGGCACCATCAGCTCCATTGTTACCCTACAGTAGAAGGAAAGCAAAATGGACAAGGTGGTCAGGACTGAACTGCACAAATAATTGAAATGTAAAACTGAAAAAAATATGATATTATATTTGGTGTTTGCAAAGATTTACTCACAGCGGGTCCAGCAGCACCAGCAGGTCCAGGGTTACCAGCCTCACCACGGGCTCCCTGGGGTCCCTCTGCACCACGAGATCCCTGAGCACCAACCTCTCCCTGGAGAAAGCAAAGAGCAAGAGTGAGATGGGTCAACATTACACTTAAGTAGAGCTACACGGGGCATCTCAATTCTCAGTGTAAATGAAGAATTGTGTTTATAGTCCATAAAAAAACCTTAAGATAATCAATATCTCTATGACGCTAGAAGATAAGTTTGTATGTCATCTTAAGTTTCAGATAGATGACTTTCTATTAATTTATCTGTTGTGGATCATTCAAGCTCCAAACAAATAATAAGTTCAAATAAATAAGCTTTGACCTATTAACACATTTCCAAAGATCAACGCTTCATTCATTGTTGGCCTACATAATCGAGATGATCGACAGAGTTATCGAGAACACCGACATCTGGCTCTATTGACCCACCTTGTGGCACTCTAGCTATGTGTTTGGTTTGATATGGAGTTTGAATTTGTGTAATCATGTGAACAAATGAGAGGTTTTTTTTTTTTTACCTTAGCTCCAGGGCCACCAGGGAATCCTGGGGGACCAGCAGGGCCAGTTGGACCCTAGAAATAGAACAAGAAAAAAAATTATATTAATTTTTCATATTAATTCAGATCTGGTGTCTTTACAAAAATAATCTGGTCTATTTTATTTTTAAAAAAACAACAACAAAAAACTGCTACTTACAGGAGGACCAGCAGCTCCAGCGGCACCATCATTACCACGAGCACCCTGAACATTTGAGAACATTGAGAAGTGGTGATTATTTGGAAGTCATTCATTATTTATATATTGAAAGTGTAATCTGTGCTATGGAGAGGACATGACTCAGATAAAGGATTTATAAAAACTCTGTTTTATGTTTGAAGGAATATCTCAACACATATAAAATGATCCAAAAGGTGCAGTAAACCTTTGAAAAATGTGGTTAAGCTACTGTGAAATGCTCAATATCCAGGTCTGTCCTTTGTTAACAAGGTACAGCCTGTTACATCTATAAATAATGTATAACACTGCAACATAAGTCATATATCAGGACAATAATAAAGTACAGATCACTTCAGGGTTATAAGGTTAAAAGGGTTACTTACAGCAGAGCCAGGAGGACCAGCACGGCCTCTCTCGCCAGGCAGACCACGAGGACCCTGGAAAACAGATTTACATTAGAAATTATGAATTTGAGAGAAACAAATTTGCAAAATAGCATGAAAGTCATGCTTAAATATGCAAATCAAGTGCGAATAGATGATCCTTACCATAGCACCAGGAGTTCCGTTCTCACCAGGGGAACCAGCCTCACCCTAATGGGCAAAGCAGGGTGTTAACTGGTCTGCTTACTGTGAAATTTAGGTTTAAGTGTAATACTGATTTTAAATTCTGTTTTCACCTTAGGTCCAGCAGGGCCAGAATCTCCCTTAGCTCCATCTAGACCGCTGAATCCCTGAGGTACAGAGGATGCACGTAAAGATTTAATTCATGTAGACATAGGTTGATAGTCATCAAACGAGAGGAACCACTCCCTAGAGCTAGAGCACTCACTCTGTGTCCCTTGATGCCTGGAAGTCCAGGGGTTCCGGGGAATCCACGAGCACCCTAGGGAGAAAGAGAAAGGCAGAAGGATTTTACACCCTTTTCTCCTTTTGTGGGTCAAACACCATAATGCTAATAACTAATGGAATGCAATTATAACAACAGTGTTTTAATTCGGAAATCCCGTGAATAGCAACACTCACCTGTGCGCCAGGGGCTCCGCGCTCACCAGGGCGACCGGGTTTGCCAGACTCACCCTACAGAGTCAGAGAAAAACAGATGAGAAAAAGGAGAAAGAAGCGGAATCACTGGCTAAACCCTAGAATGAATTATGAGAAATGTTTGCTATTTCACTGTCACTATTTCCTGATGTTTCTTTATCTGTTTCCCTATGATGTTGATAAGTTTAATGCTCGGCTCCCCAAAGTCTTAGATGAACAATATGCTGTACTATAACAGAACTACACTGTATTAACTAATGAAGTAAAAAGAAAAGGTTCTTACATCATCATAAACCAAAATCTAAAAATGATGTGGATTACTTACATCCTCTCCGTTCTTTCCAGGGGGACCAGCGGCACCACGGGGACCCATTGAACCCTAAAGCAGGAAAGCAGCAGAAAAAAAATCTAAGTTAGGAAAACCATTTGTGTCCATGTGAGTGTATTTTTATGTTTCACGTTGTGGCGGCATGAGTGAGTCACACTTTGGCAGAGTGAATTATCCAGATGAAAAAAGTGAAATATTGACTAAAATCTAGGTGCCTGAGGTCAAGATTCATGAACCCTGTACCATTTTGACCTACTGGAGTCACATATCTAAGTAGGTTAGAGTAATATTAATGTGGGGGAATGTAAATGGGTAAAGTGATTGACCTCAGATATTTACTGTGTGTTTGATTGGATAGATGTACAGATTATTTGTTTAGATACTCACAGGAGCACCAGCCTCGCCAGGCTCACCAGGGGGGCCAGTAAATCCTTGGGGTCCCTGTAGAGGAGGACAAAGGGCACAAGTTACAAAAAGCACAAGCCTGAGGAACACTGTTTACAGTGCGAGAGCGAGATTACATGCTAAATTAAGCATTGAGGAAAAAGGTTGTAGCTCATTTAGACTTCCTGGGTGGATAAAAATGAATAAAAAAAAAATAAAAAAAAAAAAAAAAAAAACGAATACAAATTACATGTATTCTGATTTTCCCAGGTATAAAAATGGCAGTAATCAAACTAATTTCACAAAGATTAAATTGAAAATGACAACAAATAAAAAAAGGGGGTTTTATGAAAAACATTAAAAATGCATGGTGCATATTTATATTTATCTATTCATTTAAACATGACTTCCAATATGGAACTGTTTAAAACATATTATATGTCAGGATGACAAGACTTTTAAGAATTGTACTCACAGAAGCTCCAGGAGGCCCAGGGGGTCCACGAGGGCCCATAGGTCCCTGCAAAAAAAGAGAAAAAGGAGATATAGTCAGTAAACCTGACAAAGTAACAATTGGTGAACATATTGTTCAAGGGATATTTTGTTTGAAGCTACATGCTACACATGCCTTGTATTGGGCTAAAGTGAGTTCTGTTTAGATCAAGAATATACTAAGCATGTGTTTGTAGTGCAGCAGCTGATTTGATGCTGTCTGTTATAAAAAGATGAATGGTGATTATATAGAGAGATAAATAAGTGGACATGCATATTGTACATTTATTGCAGTGGTATCTGCATCACTCAGGGGTTTGTAGGATGCATGCATGTAAAGGAATATGTGTCGGTTAGCATGTGTGCATTTTTACCATGGGGCCTGGGACGGCCATTCCACCTCCGGATTTCTCATCAAAGCCACCAGACATTTGAGGAGAAAAGTTCTGTGGAGGGACAAGAAGAAAAAGCAAAGACCTTGTCAGTAATTTGGACTGGGTCCATTTAGTTCTTACAAAGGATGAGACGAGAGACCCTTAAAAGGGATCTGTGCTCATCTCAGCACAGGACAGGATGAAACGTAACTGAAAGTATCTAGCAAGCTCATGTTCAGGGGCTTATCTTAAACTTAATCCAAAACTTTGCACGCCTGTGTGCAACTGTAGCCACTGCCCCAAGGGTGCTGTCCACTTTAATGGTGCTGAAATGTGTCAGCCCTGTGACCTAAAGGTGTTTTAAATGTGATCTGATTTCAGATTCTGGCCTAAACAAACTCTGGAAGTTTTGCACCTGGCCTGAAGGTACATTTAAGTTACACCTTTTACCGGTTGGAGAAATTTAGTATTTTCCCACTTTAGGATAAGATACTTACTCCACCAAGGCCAGGAGGTCCAGGGGGGCCTGGGGGCCCAGGAAGGCCAGGCTGTCCAGGGATTCCATCATTGCCAGCTGGGCCGGCAGGACCCTGTTTAAGGTCAAAGGAAGGGAAAATTAGGATTTAAGGGGATGAGGCAGATGCTACACTATGGCACAGAAAGGTTTCTACACTGAGTCCAGCTCACATTAAAGCGCTTACAGTTCAAAATGATTCACCACATCTATAGATCAGTCCTTTTTACTTGGTAGAGGTATAATGGTGGAAAGTGGTGGGCTGATATATAATTCGGTTGTCTTTTTACATTAAATATAGACCAAATCATCTTTCTGTGCCTCATCACAAGAGTAGCTAAAACACCACAAATACCATATAATAAGACAAACTAAACCATCTGTATGTGCTTGTGGCATAATTCTGTTGTTATGGAGACATGTCAGAAGTAAAGCATATCATTAGTGCTGCTGGTACTTTCTGTGTATGATTACTTATGATATATATATATCATGCATTACCATGCATTATAAACCACGCATAACCTTGCTAACAAACACTTGAACAACTCAAAATCTCAAATAAATCAGATTAAAACTAGTTTTAGATAAAATCCAATGTCAGTCAGATAAGCTATAAAAAAGAATTTATGACTAACTATGAGAAATGTAACATTTAGCATATAGTTATATAACATACACATACATACAACATATATATATAGTTTTTAAGCATTATATATATATATATATTATTTATATAGATGTGAGGGATAAAATCTTTTTGTGCAGTGCTAATGACAGCTGATTTTGAATTACATGTTTTTTTTTGTCTTCAAGAACTTAAAAGATGTTCATCAAGTAAACAAAACCCTCGACGAGGCAATAAACGGATGCATAAAAAGAGAGAAATATAAACCTACCCTGTCACCCTTCTCACCGGGAGAACCTCTAGGTCCCTAAGAGAGAGTGATGAACACAAATGAGTTTATAAGGATTTGTTTTCCCAGATAAACATAACAACTTTTAATTACCTAGTTTCAAATGAGTTCAAAAGATGCCTTGAGCATGCTGTACTTATTGCAATATATTGGACATTTAACAAGATTCTTCTATGAAGCAATGAACTGAAAACTTATTTGAGGCAACATAAGCTGATAAAAGTAAAGCAACATTTACCTCAACACTGGGTTCCTGGAAATCTATACAATTGAGGGGGGAAAAAGAAAAATTAGAATCATATAAAAACAGAAATTAATTAGATCCTTATCAATTCTAATCAACAATCAGCCTAACAAATGAGTCTCTGGTTTCCCCAAATTAGATTTGAGGCTTTGAGCCTTGATTTAGGCCTACTAGACCAAGAACCAAGCGACAAATTAATCCAGTGAATAACCATAAGGCTTGAAGCTTGAAAGTCATATTTAAAAATCCAAGGGAGTGAATGTTGTGGATCCATAAGAATGTTCCCAGACATTTTTAATGGGGGAAGTGGTGGTGGGGTTGTTTTGTTTGCCAAAGGTAAGGGGGAATAACCCCCCGATGCGTGAGAATCAAGGCGTCGTACCGTCGTCTGGGCAGACGGGGCAGCACTCGTCGTGGGGAATCACTGGGTTGGGGCAGTCGGTCGTGTCCTCGCAGATCACCTCGTCGCACATAACGGTGCCGCTGTCGCACACGCAGATTTGGCATGGCTCTGGTTTCCAGACGTCCCTGTCATTGTAGACCTGGCCGTCCAATGTGCAGCTGCCACTTGTGCCTATAACGAGTATAAGAGTTGCATGAGTGTAAAAGTAGAAATGTAAACGTTTGCTATTTGACTATGTCATATGATTTTAAATATTCAGGTCAGTGTGTTTCTTGTTTACTGTCGTCCACGTGAGCCTAAATCAGTGACAGAAGGTGGGAAATGCTGCTAATGTAGGCTACTTTAAATCATCTTTAAATAACCTCCAGATCTCTAAACTTAGATCTTATAAGGGAAATGTGAAGGATTTGGTCAACTGAAAGTAGGCCATCACTTTAGCATTTTCCTTTGAAAAAAATTCCCGTAGACGTGCATGGGAACAGAATAGCGGATGTTAACGCGTCGCACACCTTTACTTTTGCTTGAAAATGTTTGGTTTGAAAATGACCCCTAGGTGGCGTAGTGCCGTTAGGCCCAGGTTCTATTATTCAGTGGGAAAAGCTTGAGGGGAAATTTCCACGTCTGCTGAAGCTCACCGTCCATCATGACATTAAGTAATTGAAAACTGTCGACTTGGCAACGGCTAACGTTTTCCTTCAGTGGAAAGTCTGCTGGGTCCGCATGTGTTTTCAATCACCATAACAGAGGGGGGAAAGGGAAAGGGATGGGGTGGGGGATTGTCAAAATATGATGTCATTGCACATTTAACCACCAAGTGGCGCTGGGATACTGCCTGAAAAACGTAAGCCCTTCAGATGTAAAATTATGGGTCTGGAATATTAATTAAAAGTAAAAACAAAACAAAAAACATTTAAACTATTATTCTTTCTTTATTATTGTACAGAAAATCAAGTAGCTTTGTTTGAATGTAGGCTACATAGCAGACTTCACTATCCAGTTTGGAGAGATGCTCCAAGAGTGAGATCATCTCTTTTTGTTTGGGGGGAAAACTTTTTTAAATGGATGTCGCCCATATCCAGATTATTTTGCTGGAATTTAACATCTATATTGTTACCAAGTTGCTTGGTTTCCCCCAACTGGCCAATTTTATCACTAAGCAATGACTTCTGAATGTGTATTTATCTCAAAGTTTTTGGTTCCAAATTTTTATCAGCTACTCTTCAGTATTGAGCACATTATGGAATATTTGGTCTTCTCTTCCCTGTCTGCTTTTCTCATATAGCAGCTGTTGAGGACAACACATTGCGCGTGGAGGAGAATCTCCCAAACCTGTGCCAACTTGACTCCAAAGGCTCGTGCATGCAGAGCGTGAAAAGGCCCAGTGGGTCTAATGCATATCCAGACTAAGCAAATGTTATTCTTCCATTCCAGAAGAAAACATAATCTATGATAAAGGTTATAGGAAAACGCCTGCATTACTTCTTTTTTTTTTTTTGTAGTCCTCTGAGAATAATTTGTCTTGCTGTTTCCTTCTAAAGCATCACAAAATAGCCTCACTGCTTCACTTTTGCACCCACTAACCTCCAGCAAAGCTTAAAAAATTGTAGAAAAGTTATACTTACGATCATCCTCGCCTTGTCCTCTTGCCAAAAGCACCGTTGCGCTTAGCAACAGCGCCAACCGAATATCCACAAAGCTGAACATGTCTAAATATTAGACATGTAGACTCTTTGAGGCGAGGGAAGTTCTTTTTTTTCCTTTAGACTCCAATCATACACGGTAGGGTCCGGTCTTCTGTGATTCCAATCCAGACCCCAGCAGAAACTCCCTACTGCCTAAACCAACTCTAGGTCCTGGCTTTTATACCCCAAACTTTCTGGGAGGTGCCGGGCGTAGATAACTCAAGCATGTTCACGTTTAATAGAATAGCGTCCCTCCTTCACCGGACAGGGGGGCTGTCTTCACAACGTTTTCAGAACTAACATCTGAAGAAACCTGATCTCTTAATAAAAAGGTGAGGGTTTGCTCTCAAAACTTCTTTTTGGTGAAGCTACGTTGTGTGCCAAGGTGACCACCTGTATTGTGGGCATATCGTTTGTTTCAATATTGAATTCTGGAAAGACCTATTGACCAAAGACTTTCTTCAGATGAGGACTTGGGGACGAGGACCACGCAATGCTTTCTGAACTAAATTTGTTATAGTTTCTTTACTAATTTGTATACCGACGGAACAATTCTGTTTTATAGACATTAGTTCAGTTTTTTTTTCATTAGTAGGCTAGATTTCTTCTGCCAAGTATCTATCTATCTATCTATCTATCTATCTATCTATCTATCTATCTATCTATCTATCTATCTATCTATCTATCTATCTATCTATCTATCTATCTATCTATCTATCTATCTATCTATCTATCTATCTATCTATCTATCTATCTATCTATCTATCTATCTCAGCCTATTATTATTAAAATAGCGAATCAAAAGTTATTTATGTAGGCCTATTGTTTATAATTATTATTTGCCCCAGAAATTATTTGCCAAATTTATTTCGTTTTATTTGTTCTATGAAAGTAGTTGTGTTTGGTCCATCTTTGAAATGCATTATATTCTGATGCTGATTCAGGATGGACACATTTTCTTGTTAATAAAAGCAGAACAACAACATTGTTTTTTCTTTTAACTTGTCACCATGATATCTGTCATTTAGGCGTGCTCGATTTTATGATTGATAAATTCCAGGTGTTTCAACTCAATTTTCGTCATCGACAATTAAATTATACGTGGACGAAAAGTTGTCAACTTGGCATCATTTTGGTTTCACTATACAACTTAAGCACACGACTGAATTCTTTTTTCAGTTTTAGTGTGCATTTACTTTTTTCAATATCTTTGTTACAGTGAAGGAAACCACATTTGTAATAAGAAAGAAAGAAAGAAATATGGCCCAGACTAATAACCGAATGCGCTCTTAAAGGTGCACATCCTTAATACGCGGCCACGCACGAGCCATAAAAAGTGATTTGGCTTGCGAGCGGCTGCATCTCTCTTCCGCAGACACGTCGCACCTCTGGAACTGACCAATCAGAGCTGACGCTTACCCCCCCCCCCCCCCCCCCCCCCCTCCCCTCCCCCCTCTCTCTCTTTCTCTCTTCATCTTCATAGCAGTGTCTCATCCAAGAGTTGCGTCTGCCTCCCTATTCCGTTCAGAATAATGCAGATGAAAGGAGTCGCGAGCCTTGAGAGAAAGGGAGGGAGAGAAAGAGAGAGAGAGAGAAAACGCCACCTCATCGCTTTCAGGTGCACGTAGGGTCAGTCGCGAGGAAAGCACTTGTGCTATATTTACACACATGGCAAGTCAAAGCAATATGAATTAAGCATAATTGGAAGGGTTGCATGTACATTTAAAATTAATAACATACTAACATGGAGACTGTCAAGGGGTCTTTTGCAGTTCAGTGTGTGAATGCATGTGTTCTCAATATGCTAGTGTTTAAAAGTTTATGTGCATAAATTACTGAATTACTTAATTAATTAATTTATTTACATTATTCA